GTCCCCGTCAGCAGCCTGGCAGATCTATTTTGAACCAACTGAAGTATCCGGACCGTCTTCAAGGGTAGCCCCACGTAGATATGCCTTACATGACCATATATTTCATGAAGGGCTGTGGTCTGGTCCTGGTGCCACTGTTAGGTGTTTGTTATGACTTTGCTGTTTTGGTCCTATTAATCTTGATGTCAGATCCCTCAGAAGCAGCCTGAAGAAATGAAACCAAACATGAACCTGGAAACATGATTAATTCTTGGTGCCATTGGCAAGTTCGGGCTATCTATGGAGTGAACTAAGAAGAGTTCATGAGCTTTGGAACCTGCTCTCTTTAACAGGGCCCTCGTTTTATCTAACCTGTTCTGTGAAAGACTGGACTCTAATATATGCCCTCCCAGACAAAGGAGGCATAATTGGAATTTTCCCAAAATGGCAGGTTCATGTCTGGAAGAAGGGCTTGGAAGCTATGAAAACCCAATGATGATGAAAAAGTAAAAGAAAATTCTGCTTATTCTGGAGCACACATCTGTAATGATTTTAAGGAAGGCCACTGAGATACAGGGAACATTCAAAATCCTTATGCTTGCTCCATCAGATAAAAAGGAACTGACCAGAATGTGGGAACTATTCCCCAGCAGGAGGGTCACCAACCTAAAGCTTGCTCAGCTGTATTCTGTGCAGGTGCATTGCCCATGAATGTGAGTCACAGAGCCCACAAAGAAGAACAAAATCTTAAGATATATGCATCATTTGTCATGGGATGGTTTATGGGTTTGCAGTGTTTCTTGGTCAGCTGACCCAGCATTCTAAAAGCAGGCTTGGATTGTCTGGGGCAAAGAGCATCAACTGATGCAATGACAACAGTATTAACTGTATGACTTCTGAACAAAGCATAGAAGAAACACAGTGCCAATGCTCTCTGTCACATTCAAGCAGTATGGTTTAAGGAAAATGAACACGGTAGTATAATACCACAACCCATCCCATAACAAAACAAACACTTGTGCTAAAAACTGCAATTCTTTTGGCAGTCTACTGCACTTTCAAATATGGCAGCACGAGTCTCAGGAGCATTTCCTGGGTAATACCAACCACATTGCACTATTCTATCATTAGATACTAATTTTCAACTTGCAAAGAGTTGTAAGCAGAACCAAACAACACATTTCATTCAAAGCCCAGCATGCAGTTGCACCTTCCAATTTTCCTTAAGGGAGTGAGGGAAATGGACATTTTCCCCCTCTCTCCCAGAAAATCACTCCCACCCCTCCAGCAGCATTAGTGGTCCAGTGACATTAATCAAAACATTTCCAGTGAGAAGCAGGACAATCAGTGGTCTTAAATACAATGCAAGTCTTTATGACAGTGTCTTTGAAGACAAGGTAACTGGCAGTTGGGTACTAACTGCTGACAGCAAGTGTCAGCCTTGCTTCGCAAAGCTTCCCGAATATGTGAATAGCAGGCTGTAACATTTCAGAAGAATCATTTCAAAGCTTAAGCTTTTAGGAGGTGATATTTCCTGAACAATGGGTTTAAGTGCACTTCAGATACATATTTAAAAGAAATGTTAAAAAGTACTCCAAGAGTTAGAGGAAGTTATTATGCAAATATATACAAAGCCACTTTTAGCCCATGCAGCTGCCAGTTTAGGATAACTGGAAAGAAATCTAATTATGCTTCCCCAAACCAAACACCCATGGTTACCACAGGCAGTCCTTGGGTTATGAACAAGTTCCATACCTGAGAAAAAGGAAATTCGTCTTTAAGTCAAATTTGTATGCAAGTCAGATTACATATAGTTGTACATATAGTTGCAGGGGTTAGGGGTGCAGGACCCCTATGAAAGTGGAAAAATGGCAAATATTTCTGAGCCTGCCCACCTGCCCAAACTCAGAAGTACCTCCACTTTGCAGCAAAAAATACCAGAGAGATTTCTTCTGTGAATGGGCAGGGCAGGAAGGCTTGCTTTGGAGGACTCCTCTCCTCTTTAACTTCCTCTCTCTCTATGGTAACTATAATTTTCTGCAGTCATTTTTATGGCAGTTTGCAAGTAACTCAGTTGTTCATAACTCAGAGACTGCCTATATATATGCACAATAACTTCATGAACTATTGCATCGTAACTTTAAAGTATGCAGTTCATGAATGAGGAACATTTTTGAGTTCAAGGGCCAAATCCCAACCAGGAAAGGGTTGAAATGTCATTTGTGTGTATAGCAAAGTAGCTGGGGCCAAAATGTGATTCTTATTGATTTATAGGTTGGTCAGAATTATGCAGGACAAGCTTCTGTATCACTATTCGTAAATAAATATTTCTGAATAAACTGAATAATTTAGCGACACTTTCAAACAGAACCATAAATATCAAGTATTTGATACTAAATTACGTAAGCATGAACAACATGCATACTAAAACTGAAGTACAGGAAGCATTATGCATGTCTATTCAGAAGCAAGTTGGACAAGCTTTAGAAGCATGCAGCACTGAATGAATTAGCAGCTTCTTCCTCAGGCTTCATTCCTTTTAAGCAGCTGGTCAGAGGTAAGAACTCTTTCCAGTGGAAAGAGCAGGCAAGCCCTGAGGAAAAACTGGCAGGATGGAATCCTTGCAAATCAAGTTCCCCATGCCTGGTGTAGGAGAGAGATCCCAACAAGACCTCTTCTCCTCAACTTCTGAGTGGACACCACATCAAAAGACAGCAAAAGATTTGGAGTCATAGTGGAAGAAACAATAGTTTCTTACAGCTGCTATGAAAAAGGAAATTAAAATATTAGAAAATGGGAAGGGGACATCATAATGTCATTTTCAAAATTTAAGATCCAGCTCTATTTAGAAGGATGCAGATAGTCAGCTTATAGCATCTCAAAGTTGGAGAGCCAGAAAAAAATAGGGCAACTAACCATATTAGGAAATAAATTATACATATACAAGAAAATGTGCATGTATTGTGGTTTAATGAGTAAAATGCACAGTGCAGTACATGATACCATAAGGATTATGCCCAGAATTTCTGCAGAGGCATTTCAAGAAGACATAGGATTTGATTTGGATTCAGGTAAAGAGAAGAAAAGCTGGTTGAAGCCTCAAGACCACAGCAGCTGGTAATAGGAGGGAAAGATGCTGATAGCTCAAAAGGCTCTTCTGAAATGGTGAGAAATGTTGAGCCAGAGCAAAGAGGAGGAGGAATACAAGAAAGGAGGAGGTGATAGAGATTCTAAGGCTGGACATCAAGTGAAGAGGGAGGAGCAGCATAGAATAACATGTTGTTCCATGAAATTCACCGCCAAATAGACTCCTTTTTAGGAAAGGGTCTGCCTGGAAGGCAGGTCTTTGTAAGCATGCCTGGCCTGAATGGGAAGACTCTCCCTGACAGTTTGGTTGAACTTTCTAATTATCACTTTAGCATAAGAAACTTGACTTTTCACTTTTGTAGCACTTGTTTCTAACACACAACAAACAAGACTATCTTCTAACTTTTTTACACAATAAAAGTGAATTGATTATAGTTACATGTCAATTTTATTTATTTATAACTTTTATATACTGTCCCATCACTGATGTCTTTGGGTGGTTTTCAACAGCAATAAAATAATATGAAGAAATAAAAGGAGCACAGCAATAATAAATATAAAAACCACAAATTAAGACAATTAACAATTAAAATAATGTGTGGGAGCAAGATTTTCACCTGGCCCCGAAAGGAAAAAACATTGGCACCAGGCGAATCCCTCTGAGGACCCTGTTCCACAGTCGAGGCACCACCGCAGAGAAGGCCCTCCTCCAGGGAGCCACCCTCCTAATCTCTTTCAAGGAGGGCTCCCAAATCAGTGACTTGTCTCTGGTGAGAGGCAAGGTGGTCTCCAACTGATACAGTTTTATAAAATATATGATAGTAGGAGAAAGGAAATAATATTCCCAAATAGTATAATCTTGAATTACCTTAAAGGTTCATTTTAGAGAAGTGCTTCTTTCTATAACATACAATTACATTATTGAATAAATTGTACAAGATGTGGTAATACTAACAGTAATAGGTACAAGATGTGGTAATAGTAATAGGTGCTGGAGGAGACTCCTGCGAGTCCCTTGGACTGCAAGGTGATCAAACCGGTCAGTCCTAGAGGAGATCAACCCTGACTGCTCTTTAGAAGGCCAGATCCTGAAGATGAAACTCAAATACTTTGGCCACCTAATGAGAAGGAAGGACTCCCTGGAGAAGAGTCTAATGCTGGGAACAATAGATGGCAAAAGAAGAAGGGGACGGCAGAGGATGAGGTGGCTAGATGGAGTCACTGAGGCAGTTGGTGTGAGCTTAGGTGGACTCCAGGGGATGGTGGAGGACAGGAAGGCCTGGAGGAGTGTTGTCCATGGGGTCGCAATGGGTTGGACATGACTTCGCAACTAACAACAACAACAAAGAGTGCTTGATGTTAGGCTAAGGACTACATGAAGTTACACCAAGAGCCACAGGTTGCTATCTGACTGTGTTCCCAGTAAACTATTCCAGAGGGCTGGGAAACCCTTCCAAATGTGGTGTGGCAGGATATGAAGGGATGGGTGGAAATCACTTCCTATTCTTACATTACACTACCAGGAACCTCAACAGGATCGAAGATGAAAATGCCACAAGGAGAATGGTTCCTTCCATCAACAGAAGAGTAATTCTGGATCAAAAATTTAACTTGAAAGCAGGTATGTTACATTGTAAAAAAGGTAATTTGAAAAACATCTGTGCATTGAATTTATCAGAACTATGTTTAAGAAGAATTCAAAATTGGAAAATAGTCACAAAATAAATTTTATAGTAAAACTTATGTGTAAGCAGGCAAGAAGGATATGTATTGTACCAAGATGCTGCAGTCTTTCAATTCTAAAATGGTTTTTAGGCAGTGAGTTGATGCCAATTATCTAACAGGTCAATCTCAATACTGGACATCAAGTATGCCCTAGTTTTTAGGCTAGAAGTAGTCTCACTTTTAAAGATGAAATGATTATTAACAATTAC